TGTTTCAGAATAAGACACAAATAACAGCAATATTTAGGTATAATTAAGAAGGGCTTATGATTAGAGTATCTGCTCAGTACAAGGATAAAATTACTGGGATAATGTGAAAGCTTTACTACTACACCATCTTCTGGTTATTCTTGGAAACTGAAAACAAGCTGAAGTTGAGAATTTAGGATCTTGAACTCTGAAGAGTTATTAAAAATATATTTTATCCATATAGACAAAAAGAATATATTCCAATAACATGTTAATTTACGCTATGCCCAATCCTCTTTTCACCCACAAGGTAACTTACCAGAGTATTGAAAGATGAAGAGGAACTTATTTCTATGATTGGTGGGTCATGTGTTTGTGTATCAGGCACATCAAAGCTAGGGTTGACCTGTTGAAAATGAATTATAATCATTACTGTTTCACCATCAGTAGAAAAAGAGAAGCAAGACTGAAATAAAAAGCACTATTTGCCACACTAAGGCACCACTATTAACTAAAAACTATAAATATGCTTTAAATGTTGTGAAAAATAGAGGAAGGATGTTGCCCCTACAACAGTGTAACAAGCAGCTATATAATACAGAAACAGGATTCAGATATGCATTTATCACAGAAATATTATTCATGCCTTATAAACACCCAAAACTAACTCAAGAGTCCTTACTACAAGAATTATAACTATTAAGAAATTCAGTTTTTATGACAGATTAATAAAAGCGAAGTACCTAAATACAATTTCAGAGTGGACTTACAAGACAGTTAACTCAAACGGCCCCAAATTGAAGCTACATAATAGTTTAGAGAAATTTGCCAGAGTGGCCAACGATGCTGCTGAAACAGTGAACTGCAGGTATTATTCAAATAATTTCCAAACTCAGCAACTGTCAGTTGAAGGTGCTTCTGAAAGTTCCGCATGTGTTCCCCTACATTATGCTGACTCCTATGCTTTTTTGTTTTAAATTGACACAGATGCATAAGATTATGTACTACCTTGCACTGTAATCCTTACAGCAGTAAGGGCCACAGGCAATAGAATTAGTGTTGGTACAGTAGCACAGAGTAGAAATAGGGTGAAGTTAGAGTAATATGGAACACTAATTTACCACTGCTAGCAAGTTTTCAGAACTGGAGCTAGCTTATGTTGTCTGTAACTACACCCAACCAACGGTAAGCTGTAGCTGTCATGTGCTTGCTGCACCCATACTGGCTGCTCTAGCTTGCCTCTAGTCCACACCAGTTTTGCACCCACTTTACTTCAGCTAAAATGAATACGTGTTTAAACACCATTCAGTGGACTTTTGCAACTTCACCACAACAGCGGTGCATGCACACCGAGGGTGCACCTAAAAGCATTCATACTCTGATCACCTAGCTTCACGATATCAGGATTCAAAGCACCTTACGGTTCAATGGCAGACAGCTACAAACCTAAGTCGTGTCAATATCAGCTACTTTCATCTGCCTTGGAGAATCTGCTCTTGGAAAAACACGCACGCACACAGACACTTTCATGAGGCACTAAGATAAAATACTTCATTGGCCAGAAACTCTTTGTTTTGTGCCAAACAAGCATTCTCTGATAAGACAGCCGCAGCACTTGCCACAACACTGACAGCTGTGAAAGTTTACAGCCTGATGTGTCTGGCTACTTCAGCTGAATTTGTTTGGTAAGCAGGAAGCACCTCTAGCTTGCAAGGGCAGAAATTAAGGGCTTACTTAGTCAGTCATCTTATCTCAAGTGCTTTAACCAGCATCTGTCCTAGTTCCCTACTTGGAAACAGTGGGTGATTCTACTCCTCCTTTTTCCCCCCGTGTAGCAGTAGTGGGCACACAAATGCATTTATTTGACCTGTCCTCTAGATGATAACAACTAGAAGGCTTCTGAAGGTAATCGTCGAGTTTTACTTTCTAGCTTGAGTCACTTGTGGGTGAAGTTGTTTCCTGCTCTTCCTTCCACTAAGGAAGAAATGGCCCAGGGCAGAAGGGGTCATGGACAACTATGGACTTGTTTGCTCAGCCATCTGTGGTTTCTGTATGCAGCACTCAGGTTTTTATATTAAGCTGGTCCCCAGCCTGTTGAACTAAACTAGCACATCCTGGATCAGTCTCATACTACTGCTTCCAAATTTCATTACCATCAAATTATGGTAGGTCAGCATGAAGCTCGCTGGAATAAAAAAATGGAAGGAGTAAGGGTAAAACTGCTTCACTCGGGGTCAACGTGGTTACAGCCACTCCAGTTCAGTGATATGTAAGGGTCCAAGTTGCCTTACTGCAGTGCTACATCATTAGCATCAAAGCAGTATGTGAGCACACACCTATCTGGTGACATAGCTCTGTTTCGAAATCACACTCAAGTTCCCTAGTCATTTATCAGACCAATACCTAGACTCTGCCTACGTGCTTGCTTCTTATGTGATATGTCTGATATTTTACAATAACTTTAAAAATTATGCTGTGGAAAACATGTATGAGGTAACCCTGACTTCTGTGACAAGTGAACTAGCTAAATTGAAATTCTGCTGTCTCTAAAGCTATATGAAAAACTGGATAATATCAGAGGCTGATTTCAATACAAGAGGCAGCATTCTATTTCAGATACATGTCATCACAGGGTCTGCAAATTTGACTTTTCAATATTGTAGTTTGACTACTCACTTATTGTTGGTTTTAGCATATAATCTATAACTTCAACAATAATTTTACTAATGCCCTTTCCCGAAAAGTAAAATATTAATGAAAAACAAGAGAATATAAAGAATTGTGGAAAAAGTTACCACTTTTATCTTAGGATTTGAGTTAAGAATCAGAATATTCTCCCTATAAAAACTGTATGTGTATATTCCTTATCATTTTATTATCTGGATGCATCACAGCCTGATATGCCCTCTGTGTGATGCGTGGACCATTTTATGGACCGACAGAATTCACAAGAAAGACTAGATGACTTTCGAATCATTAAGATTTCCAGCTATCTTACTTTCAACTAAAAAATAAATACCCACACCTGCTTAGTGATAGAGGTTTTTTTTGGTTGCTGGAGATTTATTAGATAGAAGGATCATTTTATTTTGCCTTTTCAAGAAGAAAGGGCCTATCATCTCACCTGAGGGCAGCTGGATCAGGCTGGATCAGCCTGAGCTGCCCACTGAAGCAGTCACTGAATGAGATTTCCTCAACCCAAACTACTTGATCCTAGGGTCTAGAAATGAAAATATAGCCTTTTAGGTCAGAGATCCATGAGTTAAGCAAGTGGCTAGAATGAAACTTTAAACTGGAACTAGTAGCCTTGAAAGGCAGGCAATGGCATCTTGTACTGCCTGGAGCCTCTTCATTCAGCTCATTTGAATTTCTGTAATTTATATCACACAAATTCAGGTTGGAACTAATACAAGCAAAGTTCACTATAGTGAGATCTTCACAGGAGAAGGAAAATTGAGGGGAAAGGAACCACAAAGTTTCCTAGCAAGATGGAGGGGGAAAAAAAGACATCTTTAAATACAGAAGTTACCTGATTGGTCAAGCTGAAAAGGATCCTCAGGCTTTGCAGCACTGACAATTCAGAAATGACAAGTCCTCATTAAAGGGATATCTCAAACTCTGTTTTAAAGCTTTTTTAGCCATTTCTGACTAGCAGTGCTTAGATCTTGCTTGGATTCAGTTTAGACAAGCTGTTCTTTATCCAAGAGCAGCTTTTATAGGTATTCTTACTCTGAATTCAGATTGTGGTTGGGTCAATGGAAAACAAGCTATTTGGAGGTGATCAGGAAACCACTTCTCCTACAGGGCCATAAGAATTGAGAACTGTTAAGAGTCTTCCTCAATTTGTAGACATTAGGATCAAGTGTTTCTTTTTTCCAATTTTGTCAAACGGCCTTGGAAGAAAGAAAGGGAAAAAAGGAGAAACAGAGCTAGGTAACACAGTCTACACAGTAACTTTGTGGTTATCTGAAAATCTCATAGTTTTAACTGCACTTCTTTACTGCCATGACAAAAACATGATGCCATAATTTTACTTTCTTTCTCTATATACACCTCATCTATTTAGATGAAACAGACAACAAGTACTGTCCTAAACTGTTTTTTTAGTGTCCAGCACAATCAGCCTCATTTGCGTCTGCGCGTCAGACCTTCCTGTAATAAATATAACACATCAGCTGAGCATCAGCCATACTATTGGCAGCTGATCCCGCTCCTTTTCTGACATGTATCACTTGGGTACTGAAGAGAAGAAAGGACACTGCACTTGCAGGACTCTGCAGAATAGGGACAGCAGGCGTCCATCACCTTTCAATATTCTGATGTAGAGGAGTGACTTGAGCTACTGTAGTATGATTACTAAGAGCTCTTAGCGCATCTTCTTTGCAATAATTTCTCCTTGTTACATATATCAAACCTATTGTAAAATCAGTTACATGGTTTTCCTGATATTAGATTGTTAACTAAATATATGGTATGACCAGGTAAAGAAAATGTGCTGTTTATGCAGAAGTATCACATCCTGGCACTGGAATGCAGGTTTCCTCTGCAAATAGTTCTGCCTACCACTTTATCAGAGAAAGGGGAAGAGGAGGAAAATTGGAACCACTGACTAGGGCTACAGCAACCGTCTCCACAGAAGCCACATTAAAAGAGCTAAATACGTATAGAATTGTTAAGCAACAACTCGGGAATAGCAGAATGTATGAGGAAAAGGCAACATAAAGCATGAAGGGTGTAGCTAAACCCTTCTTGTGCATGTTTGCATTTAATATTGCACTAAAAATTAATGAGGTAATGGAATGAAGCTAAATGGAAAAGTTTCAAATACTCACTCAACATATCTCCTGACAAAGTGATTTAGTTAGCCGTGAAATAATCCCATCAAATATTTTTGGAAAAATTTAAATTTAAAAAACAAGAGAGAAAATCAGAACACTAAGTGAGGTAAAGAGAACAGTCATGTATTAAAGGTTTTTAAAAATCACTAGTCCAAAACTTTCATTTAATTATCTGGTAAATTGGATTATCTTCTTCCAGTATGATGACACATATCAAATTTTGATCCATAACATCAAAAACAAACAAACAAAAAGCCTCAAAACAACAAAACCCCATCCTGAATCCCCATACACTGTTGAAGAAAAGTTTCATGTAAGGAGTTAGAGATTTCTGAAGACCAAAGTGGAGCAAAACCAAAATATACTACTTAAAGTAAGAGGCAGGAATTAGGAGCATTGCTTAAGACAGCAGAGAAACAGAGGTGTATCAAAAGAAGCAGAATCAACTAAGGATGTTAATTCTTTGCCATGTACTTTAAGTAAATGAATATTAGAAGTAGCAGAGTGATATCTGCAGGGGCATAAAGAATATTCAGTCTCTAAAAGAGCCCAACAGATTTCACTTCATACTTTTACAATGCCTTTCATAAGGCATTGATGTTATACCAAAAGTTAATGAGGTAATAGAATGAAGCTAAATGAAGTTTAAAGTGAGTTATGCAAAACATTTTTGAAAAAGTGATGCAGCTAGCTGTGAAATACTCTTTGTAAACATACTAGGAAGAAATTTAAAGTTAAATTTGATTAAATTGTTTGTGTTTTAGACTGGAGTGATCAGGCCAAACAAGCAATAGCCATATATTCTCTTATTTCTACTGCCACCTAGTGTAGACCTTATTTTAGTCATCTAGGAAAATATTTACATCTACAATTATACTGAAGTTTTTAATGTGGGGCGGGGGGAAGATATTTATACTCAAAATACAAAACCATCACAGCTTAGATTGAAACAACGTGTTTTTTTTAAAAAAAATAAAAATAAAAAGAGGTTTGAGCATTCTTTCGACAACTTTAAAGAGGTCTCTGGTATATCAAAGATTAATTACACAAAAATACTGAAAACTCAGAAATACATTTGTCTCCAAAAGGAATGCATCATTTCTAGTATATCATGCTACAACTGCACAATTGCATATGCACACTATTTCCAAATCGCTAAAAATATCTTATCTAAGAAAAAGAGGATGATTAGGGTTCATGTCTGCTAAATCCAGACATATTGCTAGACTCCTGCATTTGAGCTAGTCACACAAGATTGCTGCTATGGTCAATGGAGAAAAGTAGGCACCTTCAGGGAGTGAGTCATTTACTTAGATTTCCAAATTGTTTGAATACTTGTAATGGTTATAAGCTTTAAAAAAGTGAAACAGATTCTAGAATACTAGTTATAAGCCTCTACTTACTTGTATATTAAAGAATCACATTGACCAGTGCTAGTAGTATTAGCCTACAGAACGAAGTGCAGTTGTAAAGATTTATAAGTCAAGAATATAAAATTCAGTGCTGTAGGTTAAAATTCAGGCTACCGCCAGTCTAAAGAAGAGGAGATATTAGTAAGGCATTTATTGTAAATGATAATTCTGCTTCAGAAAGCAGGCAGAAAGGGTGGAGGGGTGGGCCTTCAGAAGATATCTTAAATATGACTGGTTCTGTGCATAGCTTTGAAGAGTAAGGAAAAGTTTTGAGAAAAGGTGAAAGCCAGCCTCAAGGTCTTTCAGTCATTATCGTGATGGCAGAATACCAGGTGACACCAGTCAACTGTTGCAATTCTTAATTCTTTTGTGCAAACTGTCTTGTTCAGAACAGCATTTTCCAATAGGTGATGCACAAGAACACTAAAAATGTCTTTCCAAAACCAAATGAATAGACTCTGAGCAGAGCCAGCTCAATTTTCCCAGAATGAGGCTCTAAGATAGCAGAGACCTTGTCACATTGAGGAAAGCAGGGACAGGGAAACAGCAACTACTCAAATGCAGTCAGGAACAACTTGAAGAGGCATAAAACATTAGCAATGAAAAGAAAGTGTGGACGGAATTATTTCCCTCGAGTTCTCCCTGTACATCTTTGCAATTTTAGTGTGCTATCATTTAGAATTTTATCTTAAAGCAATCTAACTTCATTTTTGCTACAGAAGCACCTAAGCTTATCCATCTCAGCATAATTTGTGGCAATGCATTTTAATGTATCTTGAGTATCTAGATGACATTGTAGTTGCTTGTAGCAAACCTTAGAAGGTCATCTGTTCTTTTAGTTTCCTGCATTTCAACTATTTCCCTTGTCTGCTTGCTTGTAATACTTGCGTATGCCACGAAGTTTCTTAAGAATACTGTTACTTCAGCTCAGTTAAGGTCAGTCTTCCCCTGCTCCTCATGAACAAGACAATAAATACAAAGCAAGCAACTCTGCATTTTGTCTGGGGCTCAGATCAGATATTCCAAAAAGATGCTTCACTGGAAGGGTTGTGCAGCACTGGAATAGATCACCCAGAGGGACTGTGGTATCTCCATCTTTGTTCAATACCCAACTAGGCAAAGCAACGGCTCACTTTGATCAACCACTGGAAACATTCCCACTGCAAGCAGGAGGTAGGGCTAGGTGACCTCCAGAAACTCCCTTTAATCAACACTTCAGGAAAGGAGGAACTGAATTGCGGGTGTACATGATGAATAACTAGAAGGATAAGGGTGGTATTGCAGTCAGACTGCATAGTGATAACATTCCCTATTTCTTGTTGCAAGAAAAAAGATGGGTTGTTTTAAAAAAAAAGGTGTGTGTTTGTTTTAACTGAAAAGAGGAGCAAGAAATCCAAAGTACAGTAGCACAAAATACAGCGGGGGTGCAAATACTGCATTGTCCAGTTATAAGGAGGCAATATTTAGGAAAGCAGAACACTGTAAAATTGCAAGCATAGTTAGTGTAACTAAAGCATGTCAGTGGTGGTAATAACCTGATACTATTTTGTCTAGATAAGTTACGTCTATATCCAGATAGTGAGGTCCATTCTTCCTTACCCTAACAAACAACGTTCTTTGTTTGGATAGTTAGAAAGGGGCAGTAAAGCTAGGGAAAGGCATATATGAAGCAACTAAACCTGATAACTTCACTTTAGCACTCTCTAAAATTTTACATTTTTTTATTATTAAATTAATTCTGAAAACAAGTTGCAAAAGCGAGCCTAATGATTATTACTTTTTTCAAATTGTTTAATTTACAAATAAAAAAAAAATCTTACAGTAATATGTGTTACATTAACATTTTATCAGTAACCGAGCATCAGTTTACTAATCAGTAAATATAATATACTTCATGGTGGTTTGAGAACAAGCTATTCTACAGATGAAGTGATGTTAATAGAAAACCAGACACAGCAACCTTATTTTTAAGATCCTTAAACTGGACCAGGAAAGAACTGTAGCAAGATACCATGGGAGTCCCAAACTTTGCAATGACAAAGCCATAGAACTCTTTTGTTAATAGAGAGCAGCTAATCCATATGCTTATAAGCTATTACAAATGTTACAGCCATGCAGAAATGCAAACATTAGTTTAAATGAAATCTTCCAAAGCTGAGCGTGTAAATAACCTGGCATGCAACTACAAAATTCCCTGTGTGTGTGTCCTTTCAGGGTTGGTAATAAATAAGGTGCTAACACGTTTGTTTAGCACATGTTGTAGCTGGGTGCAGTTCGAATGAGTCTTAAAGCGAACTGTTGGTACAGTAAGAATGGTTTAAATCCGATGGCAAATGCTGCGATTGTGTTCCAGTGCTATCTATGCTGAAGGCAGCTACTAAAATTACATTCAGCAGCTTCATTCATTGACCTTAGAACAAATGCAACCTTGTTTGACGGAGAAGTTTGCTAATCAAGCTGTCAAACAACCATACATACGCTAATCATCAGAAAACTTCACATCCAACTTCACAATCAAACCAGACACATGAAAATACTTTCTGATGGATTCTATTAAGGTTTTGTCATTTCCACCCTGCTCCCCTCAAAATATCGTCAATCATTATACTAGTGTTATTGCATATACATGCTTCCTACAGGTGTAAAATACTGCTGCCCTTGTATCCAGGTTTATTCCATGGAGAAGGCCAACCACCCACACAAAATATGCTGAAGTCTCAGTGTTTTAGGACTCTGAGGCAAGAGCCAAATGCCAAGGCAGCGATATTCGCATTTTATATGAATAAACAAAAAGAACCAGAGCAGGTAATGGTGAATTTCTATAGGATACAACTTGTGCATGGCAGAAATCAAAACATTCCTGGGTTCACATCAAATGCAACTCTTAGACGCTAGACCTTTCTAGAAAACGCCAAAGAAGAGATTAAAGTGTAGGCAGTCACCACTCAGAAGCTAGCCAGATCTGTCAAGGGCAGTGACAAACATATCCTTGGGATTTCAGACTAAGGAATGGTCTTGTCCATGACATGGTACTGTTTACTTACTTTAGCATTACAACTTTCAGAGAATCTGACAAATGGGAATTAAACAGAACTTTCCAAATACTAACTGAATATTGGACGTTTCACTTCAATTCCCAGCACTAATACCTTCCATCAGCAAACTTTAGAAGTAAAGTCACTGCAGCATGTACCTATAAGAAAATCAGGGATCAGCCCCTCTATAATGACATAAAAATCACCATAACCATAAAAAGGCTTTCTACAGTTTTAGATTGATGTCAAGCCCTTCTCAAAATAGCCAAGAGTCTTAGATAGAGGGACAACTTGTGATAATCTGAACGGATAAGTTCTTGAATTTTAGTAATAATACCAATGTTCACCTTGCCTGCTGATAGCGATATGTTTTCAGTAGTATCCTATAAGCTCACTGAATGTTTGGATATCTTCTGCAACAGTTTGACAGGTTCTCATTTCAGCAGACACCAGACTACATCTAGTAAAAGTGTCAGTGATAGAGTACACACCTTACACAAGAAGCATGAAAGGAACTGTTGGACAAATCCTGAAGAGCACCAGCTAGCCTAGTAACCTTAATATGAATTCATAAGTTATGGTTGCTTCTGAAATACTATACACAACAAAAAAAGATTCTCTGGTATACATAACCAACATTTAACTATAAATGCTAGACAGAAGGTTTTTACTGTTTTGGGTTTCATATATTAAGAGTACTTACTGCACTCACCTCAACTGACTGACATTTTTCATCATGCGGATGTGGTGACCTTGGGTAAATATCAAGAAGATGAGGAGGGTCATCAGTATGCGTTCTTCTAATATGCTGCTTAAGAACTTCTTTATAATCAAATGAATCAAAGTTGGTTTTCCAAAGAAATACCTATAAAAAGCCATCATATCAGTAGCTTTACCTCAAGCCTAATTAACGCCCAATACATAACTATTCAATGAGCTCTGTTATTACTACTAGATCATAACATCAGACTAAGCCTGCTGTCATTTAGTCTGATCACTTTTACAACATAAGCACTCCCCCTGTAGTATCTTGTACTTCAAGTCTAATATTTGAAGTCTCATCTCTTTTAGAAAAAAAATGAAGTCTTACAGATCTCTAAAAGACATTCAAATAATCAAAAAACAAAGCAAAACCCAAAGCAATCCTTTATTTTGCTTTGCCTTTTGCCTCACTAGATTGTGCAAAGCTGTTTTCTGCTATATCTGTCCTCTATAAAGGCTTGCAGGTCATCCCCTCAAACTTTCTCTTTTGATAAGCAAAATGACCAAGTTCCTTGAAACCCTGAAGAATATGCTCCAGTATTTTAGCCATAGGAATCTGTTTTCTAAATCCTTTCCAACTGCACTGTTTTCATTCAAGGCAGAAACATTCACACCATGGCCAAAAGCAGAGGTAAGAGAGTAGAATGCAGAGGTAAGATAGTACAAGTTAGTCTCCCTATTAAGGAGACTATTTATACATTCAGCGTTAGGTAGAGTAAAACTAAGAATGGTAACACACTTAATATTGCTCCATCATGTCATAAAACAACTGCAAGTATCAGACATTTAATTAAATTTACCATAAGTCACCCAATTTGTATTATCCCTGTCACTTTCCTTAAGTGCTTAGCAAACAGTGTTATGAACTTCCTTCTGTCTTCTTTTTAGTAAAAGATAGCAGTTTCAAGCAGACAAACACTTATTTTATAGCTGCTCTTTAAATTAAAGGAAACTTAAGATGAGACCATGTTCTGCTCTTAAGTTGACTTAAAAACTACTTGCCTTTGCCTGTCTAGCAAAAATTATATTTGATGAATTAATAAACTATATATAAACAGTGGAAACTGCAGATTTGTGGGTAGAAATTCCAGATAAGCTAAATTATATTTTTAATATATTCCTAAATAACTAGATTATTACAAGCACATCAAGTTGAACATCTTTCATGACTCTGCTGAGTGGAAGACTAAATATGCAGATGTCAGAGCTAGGAGACACAGCACACCAAGAAAGACTCATCCAGACCAACTTGAACATTAGTAAGAGTGAAAGTGGGATGCATGGATCTCCGTATAAACTATATAACTACCAGATTCTGAAGCAGGTTTATGATGAATTCATTTAGAGCAGCTCACTGTGCTGAAAAGGGAGCAGAGGTCCTGCTTTCTTCCCTCCTTCCTCTTCTCAGCTTTATAGTCCCACTAACGCCAGCATTCTTAGCTCACCAATCCCACATAAAATTGTTCACTTTTTTTTTATAGTTTTGAGTTTTTTCCTGTTTTCCCCATGCTAATTTTCTGCTGACTTAGCATTTGAATTGGCTCAGCACTGAGTGTAAACATGAATATAGCCACAAAGCAGTAGAAATAGAGCCTTATGTTCCCATCAGCAGCGAGCCGTTTGAGCTGCTCAAGCTCCAAAAAATGCTTTGCCCCACTCTAAACTGGAAATCTGCCACAGCAGCGTTACTGTTACAGATAAAAAAATTAACAAGATTAAAACTAGAAAGGAGTCATCCATGCATGCATTGGGTATCTCACTTGGGATGCAAACAGTATAAAGCAACTTTGCACAAGCTTAGAAAGATGAGTGTTACAGAAGGAAGTATTTTCCTTTATATCTCCAGGCAGTCAGCTGACAATCATTTCCATCCCCACCCCCCCCAAATGGCAAGAATTCAATTAGAAGTCTTCATGCAAGGCAGCACAAGGCAATTTCAAAAGGAACAGGTGTAACTTTGCTCTTTCACTTAAAAGTAACTGTAAAAAGTCTTAAGTTTCTCACTGAAGCAGGTAAGTGAAATAATTGGGCATGTGAATGTATAGTCACAGTATCTGAAGTATCAATCAAAAAAAAAAAAAAGGTTTATGTAAAGGAAACAAAAGGAAAGAAACAAAGGAGTATCCAGTGCTTGCTACATATCCTTAATGTGCTTCTGAATAAAGCTCTCCTCTGTTGGCTGAGCACTGACCAGAAAGAAACTTGAAACTAGAAGCAGAGATACTGGTTTTCCTTGTTTGATGGAGGAAAACCAGATTTTTGTCTGTTTGAAAAATAAAATAGTCTCAAAAGAATGCATACAGAGCAAGCAGTCCATGGTAAATTTGCAATGGATCAGCTGCCCTTAACTCATGCTGCGGGCAGACAGGATCTTTTGGATTCTACACTAGAGAAGGAAGATGGTATTTCTACGGCTAGACTCTGCCGATCTTACCTATGCAAATCCGCCAATAGACCTTTTCAAATACATATTCCTCAAACTGTTTCACTCAAGGTAGACCTGAAAAGATCTGCATTTGCAGTAACTCATATCAAATCCCTCAAAGTAAGTTGAAGAGTACTCCCACAGCTACTCTGCTGGCAGACCTGAAAGGGCTACACGGAGAGGTCAGCAAACAGTGATGTTTGCAGAGTACGTGTATGTATACACCAGCAAATGGAAGCTGAGGAATACATTCATGTTTGCTATAGATAAAGCCATATATATCAGCAGTTATCACAGAACAGCTAACATTGTACATTTTAAAACTAAGATATAAAAATGAAAGTTGTAGCAAAATAAGTAACCCTCTCCCACATGAACATTCACATGAAAAGATGAATTTCAGAATTTCAATCATTAAAAATACATATTTTTTTATATGGAAAATAAAAAACAGGGTTAGCAACTAGACCTGCTATGACCACTTTTTTTATTATACACTTACCTAGAAATCACTCACTTACGAAACTGGATCTTTACTCTCATGCACTGAGCATGAGACCGATGCACCAAACTGCTGAGAAACATAAGTCATCTTACAGATTTTGCAGCACAATATTGCACTCACTCTGTAATCCCATGTGCCACTGACTCTACAGTATGGAGTCAGAGCAGGAGAAAGGCAATGACACCACTGCACCAAATATGCATGCAGTTAGCAGGCCCCAAGTTCAAAGGAATATTGCAATAACATAGGCATTCCTAGAATATGGCAGCATTCAGTCTGGGAGACTGAGTTTGGCTTGATACTATGACTCCTCCCTTATCACAGCTTCTATGATGAATCTGCTATCATGCGACCTAATTTAATACCTCACACACTTCACTTTCCCTCAAGTTAATTTAATGTAAAAATACTCTATACTAGTCCCCATAAACATCAATGAATTTCTCAGGAAAATAAGGTCAACAATTCAGGATTCCCTAAGAATCAAAGTTTCCTTCTGGAACTGAAAAATACTCGTACAAAAACTTGAGCATGAAAACAAAAGACAACAATTGTAGCTCAAGGAATATTCACCTTTCCCCCCCGCCCTCCTTGGTTTTTTTCTTTTTGCAAAATTAATATTGAAAGATTGCTGACATTCTCATTTTTCTCATAATTGCTAGTCTCACCATTGCTTCGCGTTAACAGCTTGTGATGGAAAGCAACTTTTTTTGCCCCCTCATTTCTTTTGAGTGCTTTCAAGACATTTCTAGTAAGGGTACTACTTGAAGCATCAACTGAAAACCAGACAGCAGTATTCGTTTTAACCATATTGATATTTTTGATTCGGAAGAATTTATTTTCAAGACCGTTTCTGTTACTTGTTGAAACTTATTTCAAATTCCATAAAATATATTTACCAGAATATAAACATAGTTTATGGCAAATTCAGAAGATCCCCCTTTCTACAACACTGTTTTCTACACCCATGCTGGGCTCTGGCTTTTTATAACAGGAAACAATGAATACGACAACAAATATTAAGGAACGTTTCGACAGACTGTAAGATTCTAATCCTTGGACTACGTAAGTAGGAAAGAACTTTTATTGTTTTAAGTGCTCAAACAACTCTTCCTTGTATGCAGTTCAATTCTTTGTGGTGTCACTAACACAAATTAGTAAAACATAAGATTTTTTCCCCCTTCTAATTCTAGCCAAACTTTTCCCAGAAGTACATTCTTAAAATTAGAATAGTGACTTCAAAAGAAGCAAAAACCTAATGAAATGTGTATGCAAAAAACCTACTTTCTTGATATTGAATTGCAATGTCTTAAAAGTGTTTATACTTAAAAATCACTTCTGTTACACAAATGACATTAAAGAAGTGACCAGTTTCGTGGTCTTCTCCTCTTCATAACATCCAACTGAAAGTAGTTAAGATCAACTTTTCCAATCATATATTTAGCATTTTCCTCCCCAAATTTAACTTTATGGTAAATAAAGCCTATATAACACAACACTAGAAGAAATGCAAATGAATCATGTCAGTATACCATAATTAACACGTTACTTTAGCATATTACGTTTAACTCTCATTCACTGTAACAAACATTGAGGAGACGTTTTATTTAAAAACCCAATACCACAAACCTGAGCATCTGCTCCACCTGAGGCAAATTTTTCACCACCTTTTGAAAAAGCCACAGAAAGGACCGGTCCCTGTAAAATAAACACGTAATTAGTGCACTGTAAAATTATGCTACTACTGAAATTGTAGTATTTTAAGGCAAAGAGAAAAATATTTTCATGCAGTGGTTTAATATATTATTCAATTTTAGCAAGATAAGGAACAATTTTGCAGTGAAATTTTCATGAAACTCAACTTTAATAAAGAGTGAATATTTTATATCGTGATGAGATGCTGCATTATGACTACTATAAGCGAATATGGGAAGGTAGTGGCATTGTCCATAGATTTTAGATAGAATTAAAATAACGAAAAATTGTCTTGAATAATGCCATGTATATTTGATCGTGCGTTTGAGTGATTTGTTATCAAAAGCAGGGTTTGTTTTGCATTAGGAGGTGAAGGAGAAAGTCTATTACTCTTCACAAAAAATATCTTTCAAGAACTCCACCCCCCAACTGGAAGACTATTGCACTATTTTTCAGTCCACAAAGGACTAACATGCCAGGTAATTAGCTCTTGATTTCTAAAATTAATTATTTGTTAATTGATGTAGAACAAGAAATATTACTTAACATTAAGCACGCATACAATATTGACATTGCTGGGGCTAAAGCTGATGCATTAATACAACTTGTCCAAAGTGAAGAAGGAGATGCAACACTCGGCTCTCTGCTAGAAGTTTTTCCACAAGTAGAAAGACATAAGACATGATGGCAAAAAGGTTATTTTCCCTTTGAAAAGATTTTGCAGAACCTATTAAGACCTAAATTTAAATAGAATTACTGTGCATACCTTGTGTCCATGAAGTGTGTAAATAAGCCTTCCTTCTAAGAGGTCCAAAATCTTAAGGGTACCATCAGTAGAAGCAGTGACGAGATAGTTACCAGAAGGATGGAACGACACACAGTTAACTCCTGCTCTGTGAACTAATTTACATAAGGCATTATTCAGATACTATATATTTAAGAAATAAAACATACATTTCCAATAATTATTTCTTTTCTATTTTGCAAAGAAAAACTGACTCCATTAACAGGAAAAAAAAAAAACCCAAAGTGTTGGGTGCATAGGAGAAACATTTACGCAGTTCTATTCTAAAAGTTAAGAGCACCGTTGCAAAGGAATAACCAGGATTCAGTTTGGGTTTTTTAGGCTGCCTAATCTGCAGAAAGAATACTCACAAAATGCCAATATGACCTTTTTCTCCACTTTCCCCAGTAAGAAATGAAATCATAAATTAACATGAGTCATATATCATTGCAAAGTGATCCAATCTAAAGAAAATGCAACAAACTATGTTGTTTTTACCTCTGTAATGCTGTAGTAGCTTGTTTGTTCGAATATCCCACAGTTTCACTGTATGATTGGAACCTGCAGAAGCTATACAGGTACCACTTGGATTGAAATCCACAAAATTTGCAAATCTAAATATAATTCATGAAAATAGATTGATTATTCATTTCCTTAGAAATATTTGATGTTAATACTAAACAGCATAATTTGCCACCTACTTGCGTAGAATCCACCTGCATGGAAACTCAAGTAAGGTATTTCAAACAATTTAAATAAGGATGAAAAAGTAAGATGGGCCTGGCAAACGAGATCGTATAATCTGGCTTTTGCTGAGAAGAAGTACAATCATCCTGGCTCAGATCTTCACAATTTACATTACAGTATAAAGTTCCTGAAAGAAAGTACTGCAAAGCTAGCCCTGAGCATGAAGATATTAGTATAATATCAAGGGTTGCAAGCAATTAGTCAAATAATTTTCTATTTAGTTATGACAACCTTTTTGTTTGAAAAAGGATAGAGAGGGCAGCCACAGAACTAATGAAGCATATGTATAAAATTAATATTCTAGGGCATTTGCAAAATAAAACTTTTATTCTAAGACATAAGAACATTGAAAATAAGTGAAAGCAAGTTTATGTTTTTCATAACTGAACAAAGTAGGTCACTGAAGCTAACAGAATACCTTCTTCATCAACAGCACTAGTGAACATGAAGGTGGAGAACTCCTAAACTTTTCTTCCTGCTAAAGCACCCAGTATTAAATAAAGTGATCCAAACAGAAGGAAAAAATCATGAGGGAAACATGAACAAATTCAAAACCCCCAAAATAATCTGACTTCTCTCTGGGTTATTCCTTGACTATTGGAAAACAATTGGGTAGGTACAGCCAGTTAACCTGTTTAAAAAAAAATGCAAAATAAATATTACAGTTTCCATGGATGGTAGAACTTTGATCTATTTTCAGATATGGTATACAGATGTTAATAACAGAAAATATGAATTTAATCTCATTAAAACTACACATTTTTACTGATTTTTGGTAAATAGTAGCACTTACCCTCCGTAATCTACGAAGCTATCAACACATGTTTTATTTCTTGTATCCCATATTTTAATAGTTTTATCTTCACTGCAAGATGCTATTATTCTTCCATCAGGTGAAAATCTGGAATACGGAAATATGTAGATTTCTATTCTAGGTAGTATCAGATGTTTAGTATTACACATATCAGTAGCAAAATACCAGAATCAAGAAAGTCTGCTTGGAAATAAAAGTTATAATAGCATTTTGAATTTCTCAGTAAG